CACATGTTGATTTTCTTTTGGAATTCCCTGATGCACTCCATTAGCCATTTTATGTTTGCAATGTGGTCTCTCATGCCTCTTCCTTTCCTGAAATCTGCTTGGACCTCTGGGATTTCTCTCTCCATGTGTAGTTTGAGTTTATGTAGCAGAATTTTGAGCATGATTTTGCTTGCATGGGAGATCAGTGCTATGGTCCTATAGTTGCTGCAGTTTCTTGTGTCTCCCTTATTGTGGATGGGGATATATATTGATCGCTTCCAATCTGTTGGCCATTGTTTTGTTTTCCATATCTTCTGTTGTTATCCATAGATACTTTAATATTGTAGGTGGCATAAGCAAGACTTTGGAATTTTGTGTAAGAAATACTTGCACAAGTAAATACTTGAATGCCCTCTACATATAATTTACAGAATTGGACTTGTGATCTGGCAGTTCTACTGTTCGTGACATCGTGGCATGAACTTTGTGTAAGAGTGAGTTCATTCAATAAAAAATAAATAAAAGGGGCTTTTAAAGAGCCTTTTATTCCATCCATAAAGATGCATTGTGTAGGAAGCTGCTGTGTATTTGACAGACCAATTGGAGAGTAATGCAGCCAAAAACTGTTTTGAAGCATATTTCATTGCTCTTCTGCCAGAAACATTGCTTTATTCTTTGGCTTCATAATGAGAATGGTGAGTTAGAATTTATTCACATAATTCAGCTCTGCACTCTTGTGAAATCTTTTCCTCTAATTGTAATAAACCTCTAATTTGATGTAGTTGGATTAGAAACCAGTTTTACTGTGTAATCCATGTTAAGGGTTCACTCCTTGGAGGTGGGTTGGTAGATGCATAATAGCAGTTTTCAATACAGACAAAGATTATTCTGGTGTCATGATGTGCAGTTTGTGTCAAGTCTGACAATGTCTGTAACAATGCATCCACAATGCATATGGAAACAACTAAAGCTTTAGGCACTGAATAATAAAGTAATAGCAGGATGGCTAGAACAGCTAACAGAATAACCTGCCAATTAAAAGTATCTAAAATGCTCCTGTTCTCTGTAAGCAACAACGAGATTGCTAAGTTTACCCTGTCACAGAAAATGACATAATTTTTTTCAGCCTGAATACTGTGGACACAAAATGCCTGGTAAATCAGCAGTTCTATAGTACAGCGATGATTGAATGGAAATTTAGAAGATCAGTATATAGGTAAATATACTGGTATTTGTACAGAGTGCAACATTTGCAATTAATTATATAGTTTGGAGGAACATGAGATGTTAAACTCTGCAGGGCAGTAGAGCACATGAAGCATGCTTGCTTTTGCCCTTGCCTTACAACATGAGTTGTGAGTTTGTATTTGCATTGATCTAATCAGAAATGAACAGAAATTAGTTCAAATCTGTAAGCATATACTTCAGTCTTAGAAACAGCTTCAACCTCCATATCACTCTCAAAACATCCAGTTTTGTCTGATTTTGGATGTTATATAGGGTCAGGCCTGGTTAATAATTGTATTAAAGACCACAAGAATACATCAAGGTTGATCAGGCAGGGTAAAGGAAAAAAATCCTGTCCCAAACCCTTGTCATAGTTGCCATTATTGGCTATATAGACCAGTAATTTATTGAAGTCTCAGAGTTTTCTAAGTACTCATTTGAAACCTGGTAGGCATAGGGATGTGTGAAGCTTCAAATCCCACCAGCATTCTCATCCTAGCCTACTTCACATCAGCCAGTGAGACTTTTTGTTTTAATGTTGAAATTTGTACATATTTTGGAGCACATTTCTCCACTGACTGATGTGTGTTCATGCACATTTTTCAAATACATGTGTTTTTAGTCTGCAGATTTTTCAAAACTACTTGGGGTTTTGTGCACATTTTTCTTTGACAAAATGCACTACAATCCTCAGAAAGGTACAGATTTTTTTTAAAGTAAGGGCCTTTACAGATTGCCAGAAATAATGCAGCTTGAGGCCACTTTAACTGCCTTGGCTCAGTGCTAAGGAATCATGGGAACTGTAATTTATTGTGGCACCAGAGCTCTCTGACAGAGAAGGCTCAATGTCCCAGAAAAAAACAACAACAACACAATTCCCATGATTCCTTAGCACTGAGCCAGGACAGTTAAAGTGACCTCAGGCTGCATTATTTCTGGCAATCTGTAAAGGCCCTAAGAAGTGTTTTTGTCTTTTCTGGTCTTGAGCTTGAGTTACAAAACCTATTTCATTTTATTACATTTTTATCCTGCCTTTCCACTAAAGGCAGCTAGCAACTTCAGCAAAACAAATCAAATAAACATTGAAATGATTACAAAAACAAAAGAAACA